AAGACCGTGAAATGTCGATTCGTCGCCGTTCGCAGCAATTGGGTTTGTGTTATTCGACCACATGGAAGATTTTACGCAAAGATCTTGGTGTAAAACCGTATAAAATACAGCTCGTGCAAGAACTGAAGCCGAACGATCTGCCACAACGTCGAATTTTCAGTGAATGGGCCCTAGAAAAGTTGGCAGAAAATCCGCTTTTTTATCGACAAATTTTGTTCAGCGATGAGGCTCATTTCTGGTTGAATGGCTTCGTAAATAAGCAAAATTGCCGCATTTGGAGTGAAGAGCAACCAGAAGCCGTTCAAGAACTGCCCATGCATCCCGAAAAATGCACTGTTTGGTGTGGTTTGTACGCTGGTGGAATCATTGGACCGTATTTTTTCAAAGATGCTGTTGGACGCAACGTTACGGTGAATGGCGATCGCTATCGTTCGATGCTAACAAACTTTTTGTTGCCAAAAATGGAAGAACTGAACTTGGTTGACATGTGGTTTCAACAAGATGGCGCTACATGCCACACAGCTCGCGATTCTATGGCCATTTTGAGGGAAAACTTCGGAGAACAATTCATCTCAAGAAATGGACCGGTAAGTTGGCCACCAAGATCATGCGATTTGACGCCTTTAGACTATTTTTTGTGGGGCTACGTCAAGTCTAAAGTCTACAGAAATAAGCCAGCAACTATTCCAGCTTTGGAAGACAACATTTCCGAAGAAATTCGGGCTATTCCGGCCGAAATGCTCGAAAAAGTTGCCCAAAATTGGACTTTCCGAATGGACCACCTAAGACGCAGCCGCGGTCAACATTTAAATGAAATTATCTTCAAAAAGTAAATGTCATGGACCAATCTAACGTTTCAAATAAAGAACCGATGAGATTTTGCAAATTTTATGCGTTTTTTTTAAAAAAAAAGTTATCAAGCTCTTAAAAAATCACCCGTTATATGTATGTCGGCAGTGTTGGTCTTACAGTAGGAGGCACAAAGTCTCGCTCCAATGCGACTCAGGAATCTCAGTAAGCTTTAATCACGCTCAGTCCCTTACAGAATGCCGATTATCAACATTATAGACTTCAACTCATAATTGAGTCCATGAGGGCCAGAGGAGCTTATTTACAAAAAAAAATTGTTTAGTAATATGAGAAAGAAGGATGCGTGCCTCGGGCTATTACCGTTTAGATTCTAGTAATGTATTTTAAGGTGCACCTCAACTTTTTTCGAAATGCCAGTTAGGCTACTCTGGCCTCAATTGTGTTTAAACACGAGGATATTGAACGTAATTGCAAAACTCGCCAAATGGCATGGAAATTAAGGACCAAAGAGACGCCTTTAAGAAGAGAATAGGCAGGCCCGTCGAGAGGGATGGGAAAAGGGCGAATCCCCCGGGCCCGGGCTTTTTAAGGGGCCTGAAATATCAGAACCATAACTTGTTGTAATTTTTTACAATGAAATTGCTGCTTCGTTAAAGGCTTGTACTAGGAATATATTCCGATTCGTGCTGATTGTTTCTGACTCTATTCATTAAAGAAAATGATCACATGCTTTTGGAGTTAATTCAATTCAATTAGCCAATGTAAGCTGAAGAACCATTTTCCTTGTAAAAGTGCTAGTCAAATTAAATATTACTAAAATGGGCTTTCTCATTGCATTTCATTTTAGTCTGCAAGTGCTATTTAGGTAGTCGATTCATCCTTCCGACAGTTAGCTAAGCCAAGCTTGTTACCCAAATACGCAATATTTATATACGAACTCGTAACACTCAATAATTGAACTTTATAAAAGTTATCTACACATCTTGTCTACAGCAAATTAAAATGCTCGCTTTCTATTTGAAAAACTAGAAATAGAACTATTAATTTAAATAAATCAATACCATTCAAACCGTTAGTCGCTGCAGTGCCGAAAGCCAAATAGCGTCAAATTACGTAAATATTTATTTACGTAAGCATATATGCACTTCAACAGATTGCTGCCATTAACTGGGTAGTCGCTGGGAA